AAAGCCCATTCCAAGTGACTTACCTGTCTTCACACCAGTGTGCATATGCTGAATTTTAGACCCTGGGAGTAGTACCATTTACTTCCCACAGTATGCAAGTTCTGCCTAGAGTGATGTACTATTTATTTAGGTTTATAACAAACATACAGGAAAAAAAGAGTAAATGAATAACATATGGATGATTAGCTTATATATTTCAGCTGACAGCTGAGAGAGATGGCAGAGACCAACCCTCTTTTTAAGTTCCTAAGACTATTGCTTTTCTTTCTTCCCTCAAAACCCCAAGCTGTAACCAAGGTTCTGCTGTTTATCACTTAGTGTTACACTGAGAAGCCACCAGGACCTGAAATTAATTTGTGCCTAAGAGCAGAGTGGTAGACTGGCCACAGAGTATGTACTCATTTGAATGATAGGTTTTCAAGATGTTTTCCATAGCTGTGTTTTTCAGTTTGCTTTGGTCCAAGTTACAGCTAATTATCTTGGTTTGTTTCTCAGGTTTTTTTGGCATCTATGAGTTTTCCAGTATGACAGCTCATGTGCCAGGCCTGCCTCCTGTGCAGCTATTCATCATGGAGAAGAGAAGGCTCTAGGGAGAACTCATAGCAGCCTTCCAGTGTCTGAAGGGGGCCTATAAGAAAGCTGGGGAGGGGCTTTTTAAAAGGGCATGTAGTGAGAGGAGAAAGGGTAATGGATTAAAACTGGAAGAGAGGAGATTTTAGGTTAGACATTAGGAAGAAATTCTTTAGTGTGAGGGTGGTGAGATACTAGAACAGGTTGCCCAGAGGAGTTGTGGAGGCCCCATCCTGGAAACGTTTATGTCTAGGTTGGATGGAGCTCTGAGCAACCTGATCTAGTGGGAGGTGTCCCTGCCCATGCAGGGGGTTTGGAATTAAATGATCTTTAAGATCCCTTCCAACTTAAACCATTCTATGATTTGGTCCTCTCCTAGTAGGGAAATTGTATTTGTCAGTTATTGGTAAAATAAGTTCTCTCTAAGAGATTTTAGCCACTACCTTATTCTTGAAATGGAAAAGCCTGAAATTCAGGTGAAATAAATAAGAAAAATGCATATCTTTGAATATTAAAATACAGTGACACCTGGAAGTGCTTGAAACATTTCATTGCCTTTATGGCAGTTCAACCAACTGTATCCATAAATATTTAAAGCAGTGAATTACTTCTTGCAATTTACATTTTTGTACTACTTTGGCTTACAAATTATTGAACAATAAAGAGGCTTCCCATAATAATTTCAGCTTTCAAAATACAGCACTTGATACTGAAAAGATTTGCCTGTGGCCATCATATGATTCAGTGAACTCCCAGCATAACACTGAGTCTCAGTATCTCCTCACTCCAAACTGAGGATTTTAACATCATGAGGTAACTTAAATGCCATCTGTGTTTCCACACTTCTCACAAAACAAAAAGTTGTGCCGCAATTACTGTTAACGAGAGTTCGTGTTTTCAGTATGGGATCAATGCGGATACAGTGGCTGTTTAAATCCTTCTTTCACTTTTATAAAGGGCTGCCCTGTTTAAAATATACTGGTTTGATTTTCAGTCGATTAAGGTCAGCACCCCATAGGTAGCCGTGACCAACAGCTACAAGTGGGTTCTCCTTTCTGCCTGTGCCACGTGCTTGGCTGCAGGAGCAAAAAATCAGAATGATGAACGTGCTTTCTTGAGAGACAGTAATTTTTGCCATTGAGCTTGTTTCATGGGGCTGCATTTGCACCAGGGAGTAGTTGGCAGTATAAAAACATCCTAGTGAATGGGGCAGTTGCCAAAAGGTCCCAGTACTCTGTTGTCACCTGGAGGGGAGTGTTCTGCATTTCTGGAGCTGTCATGGGCATGTGAGGGGTGAGGAGCTCTTTTGCTCAAGCAAGAACTAGCAGAGTTATTAAATCTGAGCATGATTCCTATTGACACTTATTAAGGAAGTTGAAATTATTCTCAAATCCTCCCCAAATTATTTGAGTAGAAGTGAGGCATTGAATTTTGGTTTTCATTTTTTATGTACTTGCAAGTGAGCAAGAAAATAATATTACAGAAGAATATAAACCACTGACATGTTTTTCTGCCTATGTATCAATGTTACTGATAGTGATCACCAAATAATGGTTCAGTCTCTTTGATGTGTTGCATGACTTTATAATCTGATTCAATCTGCTTTTCATTTTTAGGATATATTACTTTTCAGATAAACTGAGAACTGAAAATCCCCAAGAAAGGACAGTGGAATGCAAATTTATGAAGTCTAGACAGCCAGCTGAAAAGTGATTTTCTACACCTTATAAAGAAGTAGACTATGAGCCAAATTTTTATTTAGTCTGAATATTTCCATAGTTTCCAGCTGGTTGCAGACAACTGCTGTACTTTGATTCAGCTGATAATAAAACTAAGAATGCACAAATCATTTTTATCAAGCAACAAGTACAAATACTTCTCTGTTAAGTAAACTGAAGTGGATAAATCCTTAACTCTGCATTCAACCAGAATCTTTCCACTGCAGCTAAGGGCTGGCTGCATGAGCGTGTGAAAGGTTTTCACTAAGGTAGTGACAGCATTTCCAGTAGTAGCTGATAACATAATAAGTTAAATCTATTGAATGATGCATTAAGTCAGTGGAGCACTTGCAGGGCTGGAATTCTGTGTTTTTTAAGGTGTATTGTATTCTTTTGTGTCCTTCTACATTTTGCTGGAAAGGAAGAGCTGTATTGCAGACAAGCATCCTGTATGGGTGGGAAAGAGGGTTGTGACAGTTTTTGAAATTCTGTTAATATCTTTCTTTTTCCCAGATAAGTAGTATCTTAAGGTAAACATTATTCAGAAAAAAATCATCTGTGATTACACGTATCTGCTATGTGGAAAAGTATATAATTATTTTTGGTAGATCAATGCTCAGAAAAACATAAGACCATTTTTGTTGATAACTGAAAGTGTTAAAATCTGGTTGTAATTTGGGCTCTAGATTGTAGTGCATTTTGTATTACCAAGTCTGTCTGCAGAGGCACAGAGAGAGCTGTGTTACAGATACTCGATAGCAAGGTCCCTGAAATGCAGATGTCATGTTATATTGATACAGACTGTTACTCAGCCTCGTACCCTGCTGGGCTACCAACTAAGAAAAACAAACTGTTTGGGTTTTCATTGTAGCGTCTTTTTGCATGCATTAAAGAAGGTAAGTGACCTTAAAGTTCAAGGAAGAGATTTTATTTCTGAAGGTCTTTGTCACATAAAAAGTCACTGAATCCTGTTTACAAGACTTGCTAAACTGGGGGCATTTTATTATTTTCTCCTGAGTGTTACTACTGAGACTAGTTAAAAAAAAAATAAAATAATCTAGGTAGTTGTGGTATGATATCCTCAATATCCAGTTACATCTTCTACGTGTTTCCTACATGACGTTTAATTGAAGAAATTCAGGCTGACGTTGTTCATCAAGTTCATGTACAGACTGAAATGTCAAAGAACTCAAAACAAGGTGAGATTTTGTTATTGCTGTGTGTAGGTGAGGTCTCTGCCTCACCACAGAGGTATCTAATATTGCATCTTCCACGTTTGCTGCAGAAAGGGTAAATACTTGGGGTTTTTTTGAGCCACAAACAAATTAAAGTGGTGTGAATGTGGTTCTTTTCCTGAGACTATCTCATCTGAGTGACAATTCCTGTTGGATAGTCCCAGTTCCTGGCCATGGGGATAACTGAGAGAGGAAGTGGCTGCTGAGACAAATTTTGCCATTGCATCTCTGGCAATCCTGCACAGTCAAGCCAGTTGTGCTCCCCCATAGTCCCCTGGGGAGCTGTTGATATCTCCTGCTTGCAAATGGCCTTTGGCATTTTCCCTTTGCTTGTCTCTCCCAAATCTTATGCTGTCCTTCGTAGCCCCAAAAAGATTTTCAGATTGGGCTCAAGGGAAGATTGTCCATCTTCATCACACGTGAATTCCAAGATAGTAGATACATAAAGAAATTAAGGTACATCAGGGGTTTGATTTATAAACCTGAGTTACTAGAACTGAGACTATCACGTAAGAATGTCTTTGGGCTTAAATATGGGGTATAAAATTCCAAACTCAGAGAGTTCCGGTGTTTTGTTGTGTTGGTTTTTTTTTTTTTATAAAAGGTGGCACACAGTTCAGCAAACCTTGAATAATTGACTAGCACAGTAATTAGCTGCTACAACTAAAAGCAATCTAATGGTTCTTCTTGTATCTAGTTTTTCATGTGAATTTTTCACAGCTACAGATGGAAAAGATCAGGCATGAATTGTTTCTCCATTGCATTGCTCAACCTGCAAGAAAAGAAATGAGGGTCTCAAGAAAGGAAAAGAAAATTACAAGCCATGAGGAAAGCAGACATCACTGCTTCACTTTAAAAAAATAATTCAATTGTTTTTTTAATTCCTCCTTCTTATATTGACTCATGGTGTTGAAAGCAGAAAAGCATTTTCTGACCCCAGGGATTTTCCAACCAAGTGAAATTTTATTCCCTAGGTTATTGTGCTGGGAACACCCAAAATATTAGCACTGGACAGTTTTGTGCATTGTGTGCTTTTTATTAGAGCTTATGAGGAGTACGGATATGTTGCTTGCACAATATTGCCTTAGGAGAGAGCTTCCTTAGGAAGTTCCTGAAGAAGAACTTGTTCCCAATGAAATGACAGCTGAAAATAATTCAAGTTTTTACAGAAATAGTTAATAAAAGCATAATTTGGTAGGATACAATTTTCAAAAATATTTTCCTGGCATATAAAGTTGTAAAAGAAAAGTTACATTTCATGCCTTTGCTGTATTGTATATGGTTTTAATAATTAGCAAGTGTATTGAAACCCACACAAACTATAGGTTTTAGGCCCAGGTGATAAAATTATTATATAAATTGCCCTTACCAGATTTATGATTTGCATATATGGAATATTGAGCAAAAGTTCATTATATGATGTGAGTAATGAGCAGGCAGTCTTTAATGAAATGTATACCTGTGTGTTTTTTTGTAGAACCACTAGATGAGTTCAAGATCAGAAGTCACAGCACTGAGCCACTACCAAAGCTGGAAAACAAAGAGAGGGGAGGCCATCATGGGACAGCTTCCTCCAGGGAGCCAGGAAAAGCTCAGGAATGGGATGGAACGCCAGGCCCACCTGTGGTGTCCAGCAGGCTGGGGAGATCCTCTGTCAGTCCAACGATGTTGGCTGGAAGCAACAGCTCAGGTATGTCAAGCAGCAGAGCAGGGAAGAGGTCATGAATCCCGTTGTGAGGTGAAGGATCTGTACAATTACACAGATGTAGGTAAGCATCTGGATTCCTTAGACTTCCAGCTGTCTTCTGGAATCTGCCCTGCCCATAAACTGCAGCATTAATAAGCACTGTGCTGTCTGCTTGTGCTCTGGACTGGAATGGGACTGGGATTGTGGCAGGTAATATAGACATGTAAACATGCCTTTCATCTATTTTGAAAGGAGTGAGGAATTCCACTTGACATTGAGAAGGGACACTATAGCAAAGACACCTCCAGGATGGCACCTCAGAGAGATGTTCATAAATTCAGATATCACATACAGTAACAGAAACACGCTCTGCAGAAACAAGGCTGTCTTACTGGTGTGCATGGTGAGTGGATACAGGCAGCCTTTGCCTTATGTTTGTACATACATTTCTAGATAATCTACTATGGATTTCAAAAGTCTCTAATATTTACCCATTTTATTAATCAAATGTTATGTACGTAAAACAGTGAATTGCCATAAACCATGAAAAACAATGCAGCCTTGTTTATAAATTGACTAAGACATACAGAACTGATACATGAATGGGGATCTATAAACAGATAGGTTTAGCTCTGGCCAAAGCATTGCACTGGGAGTGTTTGAGATTTGACAGTTCACTTAAAAGAGTGACTTCATTGCTTACTGGATAGATTCTAAAAAATATCCACTTTAAAACCAGTCATGAGCTACTAACACAAGAAATTACTCCTGCATGAGAGATCTGGTGGGCAGTCAGTGACACAGATGAGCCTTTGCAGTGCCACACTAACAGAGATGCTCACCCCTCACCCAGGGCATCAATTCCTTGTGTGGTAGTAGGACTCACATTTTCTCTGCATTGCTGGGAATAACACCTGAAACTCAGTATATAACTTGAATGGGCTTTGATGATCTAACGTATCATTTGCAGCAATCATGAAGTCCAGCTTTTCTTGCTACAGACTCCCCAAATAGTCCTTCCTATGCCAAAAAAAAAAAAAAAAAAAAAAAGTGGCTTTTCTGAAAATGTCATAACTAGCACAGGGTGTTTGGATCTAACTGCATTTTGCCTACTTGTCTGTTCTCAAAAAGCATCCTCGTAGGTAGGAATTCTGCAGATTAGGTCATAGCTTTTAAAAAAATTCTTTTTCCCAGGGTATTGTAGCATCATCTATGCTAATGTAGGTAAAAGGGTGGGTTTAAAGGTACCACATGAAAGTATCAGGACATCTGGTAATTAGACCAAACATGTGTACCAGCTTTTTCAGCTCTGCAAGAGGACAGTACAAAGCAGAATGGAAGAGAAATTAAAGAGTAAGTTCTTAGCAAAAATATAGCACTTTTGTCCAACCTTCCTGCATTAGTTTTATTTTAGAATTGGTTCATCTCCAAAAGCAGACAAAACATGTTGGCTTCAGTCTTCATTTGGCATAAGCAAACTGTTTAAATAAATAGTTGTCGAATCATGCCTTGATTTAGTTAACTGACTTTGTCTTACATAGCTAGGAGTGTCAAAGAAAAATTATGGAAATAATATATTGGCTGAATTTTTACTCCTTTTTATGATTAAAATCTGAAAGCTGATTATGATTTTTCTTTCCCTGCATTTTTTCTGACATTTCATTTGATGAATATTGCCTCTCATCTGCCATGAATATTTTTTTCCTGTGTCTCTAGCTGTTGCCTGAGCAACATGTTTTACCTCTAATTGGTGGGGCATTGCATTCAAAATGGTGCACACAGTCCTCCTCAATAAACTTCTACGTGAACGTTAACAGTTCATTCCTTGCAATTAAATTAGAACTGTAACAGAATGCAAGAGAGCTTTAATTAATCTATACGGATACAAATGCTTTCTTATGCCAGGGAAATAAGGTAATTCTGTGCTAGGAATTTAGAGCTTAGATTTACCACAGAACAAAATAAAATCAGGGCAGTCCCCAGTGCAGTCATTATTGCTGTCTCTCTCTTTACAACATAATAGATAAGAGAAAAAGGGCTACTGTTTTGTGGGGGGTTTTTTGTGTGTGGCTATGTCCTTTGAAACACCACAGTTCATACCAATACAGGCATTTACTAGGGTAGTGTTGGAATAATTTAAAGAAAATGGAGTTGAATTGCTCCGCTGTAAAACATACAGGGTGTGAAAGGACTTCTCAAGTGTGCTCAACAGGCAGCTCTGCTGAGGCACAGGTTAACTAGGAACTGGAGCAGTCAGAGTAAATACCTGAGTGAGAGTACTCATGTTTTGGTAGACTTTTCCCATCTCTGTATCTGCTAGTAAGATCAGAGGGGTAATGAGCCAGCTCCAAACAGAATCTTGAGCTTTCTGTTCAAACGAGCCTGGCTTGTCAGGTGCACATGGATCTCACTGTCTTTAATGCCTAATTGTTCTCTCATCCATCACACAATTTGTCAAGGCCACTTTCTGTTTCTTGGCATCCTATTGTTTCTTATAGAAAGCAGTGCAAGCAGTTTTGGGAGCATGCTGGCCTTTGGGAAAGTCAGCGTGATTGTAGTGAGACAGAAGGCTGTTATAACTTCACTCCAGGAGTGCTGAAGCTATTTTCTGGAATGTTGCTGCTGCTTTCCTATCTGCAACCACGAGGCATTTTGCATTGCCACCTGCTGCTAGAAACAGGCACTGCGCTGCCTTTTAAATCAGATCCTCTACTCTGCCGTGATGACCTGTTTTTGAATCCACATCAGCTTGACACTCAGCCAGCCTATTAGTATTCTGCTGAAAGCACTGTAGATAATCAGAAGTGGAGTAAGTGCCCACCCTTCATCGGAATTACTGGCTAGTACTGTGGATTTGCATGAGTAATTAATAGTTAAGTTGAAGCTCTTAAGGAATGGATCAATGCCTGTGAAGCCCAAGGTCCAAGGCGGTTTCATTGGAGCAAGAAGAGAGCAGTGGCAATGCACCAGTTCCTGCTTGCTCGGGCTGCTTCACTCGGAGAAGACAAATACTCCCATCAGCCCCTAATTTTTTGTTCTTACAGGCAATATCAGAGTATCACTGTACTACTAAGCTTTCAAGGTTCTCCAAGTGAAGGCAACTAAATACTTTACATATATGTTGCTGGGCAGCCTGCCCAACAAAGTCCAGCCCAGGATGTGATGCTTCCAACTTTGCCTACATTGGTCATCTATGTTGTCTACACACAAGCTCTCCCCCCAGCAGCAGCACCTGTCACCCAAAGTTAAATGACACCTGGACACTAATGGCATCAAGCCAGTGCACCATGAGCCAGGTGAACAATCTCCAGGGTGAAGAATGACACAGGCACAGAGTCTGACCATAGAAGCACACACCAGTCTCTGCAGCAGCAGTGGTGCAGCTATGTGGAACAATGCACAATTGCCTTTTTGATACAGAGCCCCAAGATCAACATTAGACCATGCCAGAAGCTTCAGAGAAAAACAGCAAAAAATGTTAAGAAAAAAACCACTATCAATAGAACATGATGATTTCTTTCCCCATTGCCTCAGTCGTTGATTGAGACCTGAGACATGACAGCTCAGAACATATCTCTGATATAAAAAATACTCTACGTAATACAGAAAGTTTTTCTCATTACTTGACTTGCTTTTGACAACAGCTAAGCTTTTGCCCTGTGGATATCTAGTAACACTGAGTTCCACAGATTGACTGCTCCCTTTGTGTAAACAGTTCAGTCTGATGTGCTGCTGTGCTAGTTCAGCACTAAGTTGCTTCTGCAGGTGAAGACCTAAATACTTTTTTTGTAAGGGACAGAATACAAGATAATTAATTCCACCTTAAGGTTTCATAATTTCGAGTTATGTTTCAGTTTACTCATTTCTTTCTAGGAGACCAACATGGCCAGGCCAGTATGATGATAACAGGTGTGATTCATTTTTCCAACCTGCATGTTTTCTTTTACTACTTTTTTTTTCTTTCTTTTTTGCATCTGATTACTCTCAGCCTGTCACATTGCCTTGTTTAATTTAAAACGTGCTTCTTGGCAGCTGTAGCAAATAAGAAATATTTCTCTTTTCATGTGCAAAGAAGAGACTGTGACAGGATAAGAAGCTTCTCCAATGTAAGTGACAGCCAGAGTATTTTTCTGAATTAAGATTAGGATAGGTAGAATGAAGAATTCCTTGGATGAATAAAAGAACTCTTCCCATTAAGATCCAAAAATAAAAAATCATGCAGAGCTGTTGTATTTCTGGAGAATATAGAAAACCATAACACATGGGTATAAAACTGATAAAAAAATATTTCCATAAAATCTTGTCACATTTCAGCACTCTGCTTTATTGAGGAAAATCCAGCAACACCCCAAATGCAAGCAGCCAAAGCCTCTACATCTTTGGTTACGATGACAGCACTTGCACTTTTGGAAAACAGGTCATTTATGTGAGTGGTTAGATACGTAACTAAGTACAGTTTTAAGGCAATCCTGTTTGTGAGTGGAAAGCCTCTGTTTTGTGTTGGATAGTCTCTCCTAAAATTCTCACCACCACCACCCCCCCCCCCCCCCCCCCCCCCCCCCCTCCCCCGCCCCCCTGTCCTATGGGGCTGTTTGCTTGCTATGTCCACGTGTAATCCTTCTGCCATTGTCAGGACTCAGTTACCTGCAAGTCCAATAATGCTGGTCTTGCTTCAGCTGGCTGTGTGTGGGGGGTTTACATCATGCTGAGGTGGCTGTGGTCCCTCCCACTAGCATTTTTGGGAGTTTTGTGGCTGCTGTGGGTGATGTAAGAGGGGACTGAGACAGAACTGACCTGCCATCCCCTAATGACCTGCATTACACTGCATCTGACTGCTGGGGGTGGTTCAGGCCCTGAGTGAGAGGTGTTGTATGGCACAGTGTGAGGGGCACATCATCTGATGCCGTGCAACATAAAACATCACCTGAGTTTCCTCAGTTAAATATAGCAACTGAACCTTACGAACATGTTTGTGCATAGCATGACCAAATGTGCTACACAGCTCTGTAGCTGCCCCAAATGATCCGCAGAATTCAAACCTCATCAATTGCAACGGCTACTCAAGTGCACTGCTTCCTCTGGCTCCAGTCCAGTAAAGCACTTAAGTCACCCACCCATAAGTCCCCTAGCTTGGCACTGGGCTGTTAGCTCTTGTCAGCCTTTGGGTGGTTTCCAGCAGTGCCAAAAGGCCCCTGGCTGTGGCTGCATAGAGCGTCCTGTGCTTGGAGTGGGGTCTCTGGATCCACCCACATAATGAAACAGAGTAGTGTTGGGTGCTATGCTGACATTATCAGTATGGAACTAGGTGTATTTTAGCTTGCATTATCAGGGACCCTGAGCAAATGGATCCTCCTCAGACAACAGACAGAACCTTTCCTATGTGCTGATCAGGCTGGCGAATGAAACAGCTCCACACCATGCATTAATGTCACAAAGGGGACTTCTCAAGAAGTTTCAAGACTATTCATTTCAGTGTTAATGCTGAGCTGCTTCGATATTGTCCACATGAGATAAATATAAATTAAACACTAGAAATTGTTCCTGAGATCTGCTGGCAGAAGTTTTTCCTCCGTCATGATTCTTGGCAGTAAATAGAAAAGCCCATTTTCACTCCAGAACCGGAATTGTTATCAATATACAGACCTTGCAGACAAGATAAAATTACCATTTAAAACATGAAAACCAAGTGTTAAAGATACTGAAAACGACTGGGCAGTGGACATAACTGTGCAAAGGACCTATTACTGCTTTTTAGATAGCCTAAAGCAGAAGTTGTTATTTGAAGTTATCATTATTATTTTGAACTGTGTAAGCTGTCCACAGCTGAAAAACAGCACGCTGCAGAATACAGGACAATGAGTTGAGTAATACTTATGCAACAGATCACTTACGGGTATTTTTTTCCCCATGGTAGTGTGCAAGTGTGAAGATGTTACTCAGAGCACTAAGTACAGTAGAATGGATTATTTATTTGGTCTAAAAATATTTCCACTGAGACCAATGAAATGGCTATTAAAAAAAACAACAACCAAAATATTTTCTTTTTGCTCATAACACGACTTTAATTTCCTAAATTTATTTTTTTTTATTTCCCTGAATTAAAAAATAATTATAAAAAAGCTAGGTGGAGCTGTCTCTTTTGGTGAGGATCACCATGGAAATCACAACAGTTTCTTTAATAATGTAAAATATATTACTGGGAGATAAAGGAAGTCATACTTCAGCTATGTGTGATAGGTGTTATTTCTTTGATGCCAGATGAAGGGAGTCTCTTTGGCAAGGAAATGGTGATCTCTTGTTGCACATACATCCAAATTGGAAATTATGACACTTCTCTCTGCTTTCCCAAAGCAAGGAAAACAATTCAGAAGCCATGGCAGACAGTGCCTTGGAGTTTTTTATGTTCTGAGTGTCTGAATCTGCTTGTCACAGCAAAAAACAGAGTCTCTATTTAGCAGCAGGGAAAAACAACAACAAAAAAAATCCTCTAATTCTTGCCCTCTCTGAAACCCCAGCAAAATTCCAGGAGGGAACAGAGATGAAATCCATTTTTATATCTGTATTTCTGAAAGAAATAGTCAGAAATCTGGCACACAGTGCAAAATCATAACAAAAACATATCTAATAAAACCTTCAGAATAACTGCCCAAGACCAAAAAAAGCAAAACAACAGATTATGTACAAAATACAAGGTTAGGGGGGAGATCAGTCTGCTCCTTTCTGTGTGCTTATTGCTGTGTTGACTCGTGGTATGTTTACAGACTCACTAGGAGTGAGTGAATTGAATAATGCATTCATTGAACAGCATAAATATTTTTGCTGCTCAGCCAGCTGGATTTTAACCAACCTATTAATATTTAGTTGATGAATATTCACCCATACAGATGCTTTCATTGGCCTAAGTGCTCCAGCTTAAGGGGATAGCTCTTCTCCATACCCTATTGAATTCTGAAACATCTTAGGAGAATAAGTATTAAAGGTAACTATGAAAAAGCAACAGAGGGATAGGAAGAACACATTTCAGCATGTAACTGGTTGGTGGTGTAATGAGCCAGCTGTCCTCAAGTTTCCAAAACAAGCCTAGTGACTCTAAGGACGTGCTAGTGATGGACATCTGATTCCTTTCAAATTATGGCCCAGCCGGCGGCTAGTGATGGTACTAGAGATCCATGCAGGAAATAGAGATATTAGTATAAAACAAACACAGACAAAGTAGCAGGGTAAATGAGGCACCAGAAAATACATTTCAGAGAGACACAAGCAAAAGATACATATGCAAAACCTGTGCTTCAAAGGCAAACTTGCTAAATCAGGATTGCACAAGGCATAGGTTCTTCCTCTCTTTTTGGAAACATGACGTTGAATAGGAGAAATTCTTTAAACCCGTTGTAAGGAATCATGATATAAATACTACTTATCCATAGTAAAGCACTACTATTAGTGCTAAAACTGAGAGTTTGTTATTGTACAAATATGTCTGCTGAGTTCAAATGTCCTTGATCTCAGTGTTTGTCCATTAAATAGAAAGGTGCAGGGTTGGAATTCTTATAGAACATGAGGACAATGAACACATTCATCTGAGCCAAAATCATGGGTTGAGAGGAGAAAATTCCTTGGCCATAAACAGGAAATATAGGGACAGGTATTTTTCTCTGGCGGAAACAGGCAGGCCCATTTCTCAGGAAAACACAGTTTCTTCTAGACAAGATGTGGGATGTGGAATACTTTGGGGTGCCACACTGGTGTCTACATAGTTCACAGACAGAAACGTTCCACAACACCTGAGATGCATGGTCACCTTCATGTTGGTATGTTAACATTAGTAACCTGTGCTGGAAGTCCATGGGGAATGTTCTGAGAAATGCATCTATATACAACAACAGAAGGAAAATTAAATAACTGCAATTCCTGTGCAATTCTTCCCTGAAACAGAGCTTTCTCTTCTCCTTCAAGAGAACCTCTGCCTCTTTAATTGCCTCAGTTGTACAGAACTAAGTTCAGAATTTGCCACTGTTGATGTTCTGGTTTCTATCCTTCCTGTTTTCTGTCTCTCAATTGCATTAATGCTAGTTTTCCAAGTGCTTTTGGTATCATTTCAAACCCCCAAGTACCACACTATCCTCACCAGTTTTGACCAATCCCTTCTTCATTCTTTGGCCATTCATGCTTCACCTCAGCACAGTTTGTCTTTGGGCTACCTTCTCTCTCTGATCTGGGATGAAGAGATGAAACCAGAAGCCACTGCAACTCTCTTAATCACTGCTGTATTTTCTGGGGAGTAGAAGTCGTCACTGGAAGGGGCAACAAGGGTTTCTTTATCTACTTCCTATCTGTCTGCTGGTTTATGCACTGTACTTGAGCTTCAGAGATACTCAAGCAGAGGGAGGAGGTCAGGATATGGGAGGAGTTCTGTCTTAATCCCGCTTGTTCTGACCTCAACTTGTATTCGTGATTCAGCCCAATCCCTAAGACTGACTAGAAACGAAGCCTCAAGTCTTTGTTTCAAGGGAATCCTAGGTCCCCCCTGTTTCAAGTTACTGCAGCAGTGACCTGCCTTCTGTTCATGGGTGTCTTTTCTTCCCTTCTCCTCTGCAGAGCCTAAAGCAAGTTGCAGATTAGGTCGGTCTGCATCCACATCAGGTGTGCCTCCTCCGTCTGTCACTCCGCTCAGGCAAGCCAGTGATCTTCAGCCGAGCCAGGTACCATCGTTAGCCAATCGTGAATGACTTCATGTGCTGCAACATGCCAAATGTTTCTCACCTCTCTGTCTGTCATTTGTTACAGTAAATGTTTTTTTTATCTTCAGCCGAGCCAGGTACCATCGTTAGCCAATCGTGAATGACTTTTCATGTGCTAACATGCCAAATGTTTCTCACCTCTCTGTCTGTCATTTGTTACAGTAAATGTTTTTTTTTGGGTTTTGTCTTTATTTTCTGTGCCTGTGTGTGCATCTGTGTGTGCACATCTCTCATTGGCAATGAAATTCCACTGGCCACAGCCGGTAGAATTTTCTTTGCTCTTAATTCCTTGTATCCCTTTCTGTCTTCATTCTGTAATATAAATGTAGTAAAACTGTACTGTATTAACTGGCTGGATTTTTTATTTTTTCATGTTTTCTGTACTTTTTTACTGTCTTTAAAATTTATCAAACTTTGATAAATTTATCTGTTTTTAATGTAAATTTCTTTTCAATGTCTTGTCTAAAGCACTTGCACCAATGTTTGTGAATGACTTGTACATACTTGACTTCTGCTCAGTTGTATTTGTGCCAGTCTCACCTCTGTTTTGAGCTTAATGCATGATTGTATTACATTGTGATTTATCACTGTCCTGAAAACTCCTCTTACAGCGAGTTATTTTGTTTAGTTAAGGCAGCTGGACTCACGTAAGCTATAGGCCATGTAATACTTACAGGACTGTTAAATAGTCCATTGCAGTTATATTTATTGTATGTAATTATTAGCAATCAAAAACCAAATCAATGGAGTAACATCTTGTATCTTAAACAGAGATACTTTTTCTTCATCAAAAACAAAAAAGCCTCGTAGACCCTGGAGAAAGAAATTAAAGTGAGTTTGGCAAATTTCTCCACCAGAGAGAAAATGGAAAAGAAATAAAGACATAGGAAACCTATACTTACCTTTATTTTATATGCTAATACTGATATCGTATCATTTTGCTGTGCAGACCTGTATTATTAGTTTGACAGAGCTATCTGCTGAGAGTGGCAATTGAGGGAAGAGGTTCCACTGGAGCATAGTGTGAATGCCTTCTGTCAACTCTGGCATCGGATCACTTGTGTGCACTTGTATATGCCTTCACATCACTGTGTGTCTGGGTGTACTTATGCACAAAGAGACAGAAACATGTATGCCTGTATGTGCACATACATAGATGTATGGACACACACAAACACCCTCATTTATATGGCAAATTTTCAATTTGCTTTCAAGGAATTAGTCCCCATAATCCTATTGCATTTCAATGAGATTTGAGTTGAAAACTCCCTGAGGACTGCTTTTCCATAATCACATACTTAAGTTGTTTGTAGCTTGTTGAGTTGGTTCTAGAAAGTCTGGACCAAAGCAGAGACCAGAAGAGTAATTTTGCTTTACTCCATCCAGACAGCCAGCTACTTGTTAGGAAGGTTATATTTGGGTAGCCTAGTCCATACAGCTTAAAATTCTTTAACCGGCAAAACTGAAGCTATTGTATTGTCTGAGCCCTGCTCGACACAATTGCCTAACAGAGCCTGGCACATTTGTAAAGCACATTTTACATAAGAAAATCAAATCCATATTGGAGATTCAAAATGACAGCCTATTTAAATACTATGTCAAGTGTTCCTTCATCTAAGGAAGAAATTAGGGTAATTGTACTTCCAAAGGTTCTGAGTGTCCCAGTGTTCCTGTAGTATATGATTTTTGATTAAATGGGTCTTACAGGAGGCATGATGGTTTGCTGGTTACTCAGTGGCAAAGGCACCTTGGGTGTTTTGAAGATATTTTAGTCTCTCAGTTTATATTAAGAACTAAACAATAAGCTTTGAAAGCAGAAGATGATGTGATAGAAGAGATAATGAGTCTCTTAGAAGCTGCAGCCAGGGTTCGCTGAAACTGTGGAGGAAAATCCACCTCACTTCATACACAAGAAAGGAACCAAATTATAAGAGGAATTTTCAAGTGACTACAGAGAGTGATCTTGTTAATTGAATAATGTATGGCATAGACATGGCTGCGTGAAAAACAACAGCTGGTAAAACTTCCTTTTCCTGTAAGTCTTCCCCTCTAACTATCAACCTCTTAATGTCCATCTATCACAGTGTCATTTATTATGAGGATGTAAGTTTTTTTAGAGGTGTGAATTTGAGCCTAATTCCAGCAAAATTACAGAGGTCTTATTGTCTCCTTAGCAGATACAAACATTACTTTGATTGTGTTGGTTGTATATCTGTTCTAGTGTAGCGTGCAAACAAACTATGACAGGTGAAATGTGTTTGGAAATGGCTGAGTTGTTAGCCCGTTCTGAATCTGACAAACTGGCCCTTATTTTTGTGTGCTGTGACTATTGGTTGTATTGATACTGGTATTGATACTGGTTTCCATAATCAGGCTTCCTAAAAAAAGGTAGATCCTGTTACCCACCTCTTTGTTGATGAAGCAGGCACAGCTAACGTTCGTACAGGGATACAAGATCCAGGAAAGGGGGGATTGCTGTTAAACAGTTTTCTGAAATCTTCATGGATTCCAAACTGGTATTTTTTTAAATGTTTAACTTAGGAAAACATATCAGATTTGCAACTGAGCTCTGGAGGCCCATAATTTTTAATACAGAGTAATTAAAAGTAGTAAGGATGATTAGTAATTAAAAGTAGGGCTGATATAGTGAAACCTAAATTATAATTTTAATAAAATACTGGCCAATTATGTAACTATTGACATTTAACTCACTTATGTCTTCTTTTCTTGTTAGTTTATTGGTGTAGGAATTGTGAGGATTAACCAGTCAATATTCACAGGATGTATTTAGGGTGTATTGATGGTAAGCATGATAGTGATCACTTCTAAATAAATAAATAAAAATTTTAAAAGCACTTACAAGCCGAGATGAGTGATGTGGCTGGTCTGTGATGGAGAACACTTTAAAATTATGTAGTGTAGTGGCAGCCAGAAGCCAACACATGGAGCCAGATGAGAGGATGCCTTTCTGTACTTGGTTCTGGTAAATGGTGAGGGAATTTTGAAAGAGCTTGTTGCAGGAAATAGCATTGGATGAAGTTCTGAATTTACTGAATTTAAACTGAAATATAATGTTATCTTGGAACTAAAGTTACTGATTGTGTAAGGATAAAGTTTAAGAAATTAAGGAAGTAGCAGAGGAAGTCAAGTGGAGAGCTTGGAACTACAATATTATAGAATCATGGAATATATTTGAGCTACAGAAGTGGCATATAGCTTTATTTCCTAAATACATCTCTTAATACAAATATCCTAGAGGAGGTAAAGTAGCAGAAAAGTGTTCTGGATATCACAGAGCATAACACCTTGTAAAGATTCTCCAGTGTTAGCAGAGGTCTTACAGGGAATGGAAAAATATTCTAGAAAGTACAGTATGTTATGTCTTAGTGATAAGAAGTGTGTCAATAATACTAGAAATAATTAAATTCCACATGAGTTTGGCTTTATATGCAAATGAAAGCAAGTACCAGTCATCTGTAGCCATTCAAGTGGACAGAGAGCAGTGGAAGTTAAGCACCATGTGAGGTTTATAAAGTAGTATAAACATGGCCCAAGGATGCCTCAATTAATAACTCATCACCCATATTGCTAGAGCCTCCCTGCTGGTGCTTGAGACTTCTGTAGCAGGCATGGTCAGGTGTTTCACTCTGCAGCTGGTAAATGCTACATCATACCAGGGACCCCCATAATGAACAAAATTGTTCTCTTGTGTAAAGGAAGCAGGAGTTGGAGTCACAGGTGTCACTGCAATACTGTGATGTTTCTCTGCATCCTGTCAGTCTCTGCATCTTCATCTCAGGGTACCAAAGGATTACACGGTATTGATAGATTAAAAAATCTCTGTCCCATACAGGATACCTGTGCTTTGAGCACGTCTGTCAAAAGACAAAAAGGATTCTAGCAACCTGCACGGTGACAGTCCCTCTGCTGGAGAGCCGAGCATCTTGCAACCGTGTTTTTAATGTACATAGAAGAGTGTCTAGGTCACTGCCAGGCTTCTCCTAAACACTCTTCAACACACCAAAAAATACTGGTTTTCCTTTTAAGAAAAAAGAGCTAGTATAGCTATCTCTAGATTTATTTATTTTTTCTGAAAATCAGTTTTGCAAAATGAAGTTTGTTTTTCTTAAGAAATGAATTTTACAGCTACCGTGAAATCACAGGTATGGAGCTGCGTGGCAGCACAGCAGTGCCTGTTTACAATGAAGATCGACAATCTGAAGGAAAATACAGCCTTTGAAAACAAAACTCCTGAAAGTTACAATACGATATTTCAGTTTTTCAGCAAAACAGAGCCTGTTTTTAGACAGATTTCCACAAAACTGTGTATCTTATGTCCAAATGTGCAGCCTCTCTTCATGCTGCATCTTAGTGATGTGCTTTTCAGTGAGAAGACAGCACTGTCCTTTACTGTTGCCTCCTCAAGGCATGCTATCTTCATTCTGAAGGTTTGCAGGCCTCGTGTCTTCTGGGGAGGAGCAGGCAGTGGTATCTAGTTCCAGTTTAAGCAAGGAAAGAAGATTTAAACTGTACAGTGATGATCAAAGTAAAATCCAGAAGCCATGCTGAGATTAGAAGGAATAACTTAGAGAAGGAAATGAAGATACACAGACAGCTGTGAATTAAGGAGATTGAAGTTGCATTTAAGGAATAAAGAAAAAGCTATAAACTATATCAGAATCAACAGTGAAATTTTTTGTGGGTTATTTAAAAAAAAAAAAAAAATGCAGCTCAGTTCATTGCTCACCTGGTATCTTCCTGAGGCCCCAGCAAATGAGATGGCATATTTTCTCCCCCATACAACCTCATCAGTGAACACAACGCAGAAGGCCCATGTGATGGACAAATTATCAATTACCCTCCAAAATTGAGGAATGCAGCTCAGTTCATTGCTCACCTGGTATCTTCCTGAGGCCCCAGCAAATGAGATGGCATATTTTCTCCCCCATACAACCTCATCA